CGGACGCCAACTCTCCGACACCTCCTCCTACCGCCCCCTTGATCATGACCCCACCCCTGAGCACCAAACCATCATCTCGCAAACCATCCACAACCTCATCACCTCCGGTGACCTCCCACCCACGGCCTCCAACCTCATCGTTCCCCAACCTCGCACTGCCCGCTTCTATCTCCTTCCCAAAATCCACAAACCTGAATGCCCCGGTCGACCCATTGTCTCCGCCTGCTCCTGCCCCACCGAACTGATCTCCAACTATCTCGACTCCATTTTCTCCCCCTTGGTCCAGGAACTCCCTACCTATGTCCGTGACACCACCCACGCCCTCCACCTCCTCCAGAACTTCCAATTCCCCGGTCCCCAACACCTCATCTTTACCATGGACGTCCAGTCCCTCTACACCTGCATTCCCCATGCAGATGGCCTTAAGGCCCTCCGCTTCTTCTTGTCCCGCAGGCCCGACCAGTCCCCCTCCACTGACACCCTCATCCGCTTAGCCGAACTCGTCCTCACACTCAACAACTTCTCTTTCAATTCCTCCCACTTCCTACAGACAAAGGGGGTAGCCATGGGTACCCGCATGGGCCCAAGCTACGCCTGCCTCTTTGTAGGTTACGTGGAACAATCCCTCTTCCGTACCTACACCGGCCCTAAACCCCACCTCTTCCTCCGTTACATTGATGACTGTATCGGTGCCGCCTCGTGCTCCCACGAGGAGCTCGAACAGTTCATACACTTCACTAACACCTTCCACCCCAACCTTAAATTTACCTGGACCATCTCTAACACCTCTCTCCCCTTCCTGGACCTCTCTGTCTCCATATCGGGCAACCACCTCGAAACCGATATTCATTTCAAGCCCACCGACTCCCACAGCTACCTAGAATACTCCTCCTCCCACCCACCTTCCTGCAAAAATGCTATCCCCTATTCCCAATTCCTTCGCCTCCGCCGCATCTGCTCCCAGGATGAGGCATTCCACTCCCGTACATCTCAGTTGTCCTCGTTTTTCAAGGACCGTAACTTCCCCTCCTCGGTGGTCGAGAACGCCCTCAACCGTGTCTCCCACATCTCCCGCACCTCATCCCTCACACCCCGTCCACGCAATAAAAACCAAAAAAGAATCCCCCTCGTCCTCACGTACCACCCCACCAACCTCCGGATCCAACGCATCATCCTCCGACACTTCCGCCATCTGCAATCCGACCCCACCACCAAAGACATCTTTCCCTCCCCACCTTTATCTGCTTTCCGGAGGGACAACTCTCTCCGTGACTCCCTTGTCCGCTCCACACTCCCCTCCAGCTCCACCACACCCGGCACTTTTCCCTGCAACCACAGGAAGTGCTACACCTGCCCCCATACCTCCTCCCTCACCCCCATCCCAGGCCCCAAGAAGACTTTCCACATCAAGCAGATGTTCACCTGCACATCTGCCAATGTGGTATACTGCATCCGCTGTACCCGGTGTGGCTTCCTCTACATCGGGGAAACCAAGCGGAGACTCGGGGACCGCTTTGCAGAACACCTACGCTCGGTTCGCAATAAACAACTGCACCTCCCAGTCGCGAACCATTTCAACTCCCCCTCCCATTCCTCAGACGACATGTCCATCCTGGGCCTCCTGCAGTGCCACAACGATGCCACCCGAAGGTTGCAGGAACAGCAACTCATATTCCGCTTGGGAACCCTGCAGCCCAATGGTATCAATGTGGATTTCACAAGTTTCAAAATCTCCCCTCCCCCCACCGCATCCCAAAACCAGTCCAACTCGTCCCTGCCTCCCTAACCTGTTCTTCCTCCCACCTATCCCCTCCTCCCACCTCAAGCCGCACCTCCATCTCCTACCGACCAACCTCATCTCGCCCCCTTGACCTGTCCGTCCTCCCTGGACTGACCTATCCCCTTCCTAACTCCCTACCTACACTCACCTTTCCTGGCCCCATCCCCGCCTCTTCGACCTGTTTGTTTCCTCTCCACCTATCCTCTCCTCTATCCCTCTTCTATCCGCCTCCCACTCTCTCCCTATTTATTTCAAAACCCCCTTCCCCTCCCCCTTTTCTGATGAAGGGTCTAGGCCCGAAACGTCAGCCTCTCTGCTCCTATGATGCTGCTTGGCCTGCTGTGTTCATCCAGCCCTGCACCTTGTTGTCTCGGATTCTCCAGCATCTGCAGTTCCTACTATCTCTGGAGTAAGAATACTTGCTTTGAACAGTGCATTGCCATCCCAGGTCGACGTTACATTTTCCTTTATCTTAAAAGGCAGCTTGCCTCTTCCTAAATCTATAAATACAATGACTCAGTTGCAGGTCATGTACACTCAAATGCATTAGAGGCTAAATGTTTTAAACTCAGTTGTAATATTCTTGCCTTTGTCTCAAAACTTTGTATCTCAAACTCCACACCAGAACTTGAGTACATGGATCTACATTGATTGCTTACATCTTTCGATGAGACATTGAAATGAGGGATTATTAAACTGAGAGGCTCCTAACTCATATTATTTCTGCTGTTAGATAAATGTAAAAGGACTCTTGGAGACGAAACTGTTTGAAGAGGAATGGAGACATTCTCTCAGCACGCTGACCAATACTTATTCCTTAACTGGCACACTTAATAAATGGATCTGCGGGTCATTTATCTTATTGCTATTTGTGTTAGCTATATGCTAATGATAAATGACATGAGCCACATATCAGGAGTAATTCATTAACTGTGAAAGTGTGGGATGTCCTAAGGATATTTAAGGCATCATACAAATTTAAGTCAGTCGAATTGGTTTAAATTTGAACTTAAATGTTGACAAGTCAGTCAATTGGTTACTTTACGAGCAAAGACTATTAAAGCCTAGTTTTGAATTCTTTTTTGAGATATTCTTGTTGTATCACTTTATTTCTGGAAATAACTGTAATATGATAATTGGTTAAAGATATTAGAAACAATCTTAACATTACAATTACAGAAAATAATACACTACGAAGCAGTATCATAGCAATGAATGTAGGTTAATTTCTCTGTCTTCAGAATGGATGATCATAGACTAGATTTTCAACCATGCAGAAATAAAGAAGATACCAGTCTTCCAAGCCTGTCTCAAAAAACAGCATTTTCACAGCTGCAATTTTCAAATCTTTGGGGAGGGCTGAATATAAAAGGCATACACTTTATCCTCAGCAAGAGTTCAAAGGCAGCTTTAGGATCTTTCTGATATGAAGGCAGGGTGTTTAACAGTTTATGCGAACAGTAGGTTTCTCTGGCGCTTATGTCCAACACCATCTGTACTCCTCAAGCGCTCCCACCCTCCCACATCCCAAACAACATCCACCTAATCACCCCAGTACCCTTCATCTACCCTCCCATAGCCAATCATAACCTCCACACCAGGCCCCATTACCTCTCAACACTGCCCCTCCCCCTCCTATGGAGATTCATACTCTCAATGCCAAGTTATGCATCACCTCCCATGGCCATGGATCCTTGAACACTCCATGCCCATTCCAGCACTATTTAGAAAATTAGGATTAGGCCATATAGTCTGCCTCACCATTTAATATGATCATGGCTGATCCACACTCCCATGCCCTCCCCAAACCTCTCAACAGCTTGTAGAAATCTGTTTATTTCTGAAACATATTCAGTGACCACCTCCACAGTCTTCTGTTGTAGCAAATTCCACAGGTTCACCAACCTCTGAGTTAAAATAATTCTCCTCATCTCAGTCCCAAATGACTGTGTACCTTGAGATAATGACCCCTTGTTCCAGAACCTCCGGCAAAGCAAACCATCATGATTGCATCCAGTCTCTTCAGCCATTTCTGTGCTATATGTTCTGTGCAGAATCACTGGACTGAAACAGGATGTGTTAAGCTTAAAAAAGGTAAACATTTGAAACCTCTATTGTGTGTAAATTACCATAGGATGATGATGTTAGGCTGGGAGCCAGGCATTCATGAGCGTGCAACACAGGAAAAACAGGGGACAGATGAAGAAGCATCGTTTAGAATGGAGGGTATGATGAGCAATGGGAAGTGGGTGGATGGGCACAGCATAGCTAGAGGGCAAGATGTTCTAAACCTACCTTTCAAAAGACTGTCTCACTCAAACTATGGCTCATGACATCTCTGAGATATAGTGAAATAAATGTTCTTTGAAAGCTGGTCTGACTCAATGGAAATTGCTGAGGCCTCGGGCATGACTATCCCTACAGTGGAGCAGGTCAGGTCAGAAAGTGCAGAATCAAAACCAGCCTGTACCCTTAAGCAGCACTGTGAAAATCGTAAACCCAAGGAACTGGGTGCAGAATTTCCATTGTGTCTTGGCTACAATTTTCATTCCTCCACGGAGTATCACCAATGCTATGAATATCCATCCTTACAACTTCCTTTGCGGCAAGAGAGAGGAAAATCAATGGGCAATCTTCACTATTCTTGAGAACCGCCAAATAATATGAAAGCATATTTGTTTGCACAAGAATAAACCTCAGGACATCCTGACAGTTTCAATTTAAACAATAATGAAATTGCAACACGCAAGACTATTTAGAAAATTGCACAGATTGCAATTTGTTATTGGGAAAATCAGATTGTGCTTATTTCCTATGATTGATTAAAATTAGCATTTTATACAACAAATTAGGTTAAACATGGGCAAGGAAACTTCCTGCTGATCACCACATACCATCCTCCCTCACCTGAAGAATCAGTACTCCTCCATGTGGAACAACACTTGGAGGAAGCACCGAGAATGGTAAGGGCACAAAATGTACTCTGGGTGGGGGATTTCAATGCCCGCCACCAAGAGTGGCTTGGTAGCAGTACTAATGATCGAGCTGGTTAGGTCCTAAAGGACATAGCTGCTAGACTGGGTGTGTGGCAGGTGGTGAGGGAACAAACAAGAGGCAAAAACATACTTGACCTCATCCTTACCAATCTGCCAGCTGCAGTTGCATCTGTCCATGACAGTATTAGTAGGAGTGACCATCGCACAGTCCTTGTGGAGACGAAGCTTCATCTTCACATTGAGAACAACCTCCATCATGTTGTGTGGTACTATCACTGAGCTAAAAGGGCCAGACTTCACACAGATCTAGCAACTCATGACTGGGCATCCATGCAGCACTGTGGGCCATCAACATCAGCAGAATTATACTCCAGCACAATCTGTAACCTCATGACCTTGCATATCTCTCACTAAACCATTACCATCAAGACAGGGGATCATCTCTGGTTTCATGAAGAGTGCAAGAGGGTATGCCAGAAGCAGCACTAGGTATATCTGAAGACGAGGTGTCAAGCTGGTGAAGCCACCAAACAGGACTACTTGCACGCTAAGCAGCATAAGCAGCAAGTGATAGATAGAGCTAAGCGATCCCACAACCAACAGATCAGATCTAAGCTCTGCAGCTCTGCTGCATCCAGTTGCGAATGGCAGTGGACAATTAAACAACTCACTGGAGGAAGAGGCTCCACAAATATACCCATCATCAATGATGGAAGAGACTAGCACATCACCACAAAAGATAAGGCTGAAGCTTTTGCAACAATCTTCAGCTAGAAGTGTCAAGTGGATGATCCATCTCAGCCTCGTCCAGTGGTCCCCAGCATTACAGATACCAGTCTTCAGCCAATTTGATTCACTCCATGTGATATCAAGAAATGGTTAGCGACACTGGATACTACAAAGGCTACGGGCCCTGACAACTTTCTGACAATAGTAGTAAAGACTTGTGCTCTAGAACTTGCCACTCCCCAGCCAAGCTGTTCTAGTACAGTTACAACATTGGTATCTACCCGACAATGTGGAAAATTGCCCAATTATGTCCTATACATAAAATGCAGGACAAATCCAACCCAACCAACTACTGTCCCATCAGTCTACTTTCCATCATCAGTAAAGTGACAGAAGGTGTCATCAACAGTGGTATCAAGCAGCACCTGCTTGGAAATAACCTGCTTAGAGACGCCCAGTTTGGGTTCCACCAGGACTATTCAGCTCCTGACCTCATTACAGCCTTGGTTCAAATATGGACAAAAGAGCTGAATTCCAGAGGTGAGGTGAGAGTGACAGCCCCTGACATCAAGGCTGCATTTGGTCGGGTGTGGCATCAAGGAGCCCTAGCAAAATTGGAATCAATGGGTATCGGGGGCAAACTTTCTAGTGGTTGAAGTCATATCTGACATGTGGTTGTTGGAGGTCAATCATCTCAGCTCCAGGACATCTCTGCAGGAGTTCCTCAGGGTAGTGTCCTCGGCACAACTATCTTCAGCTGCTTCATCAATGACCTTCCGTTCATCATAAGGTCAGATGTGGAGATGTTTGCCGATGATTGCATAATGTTCAGCACCATTCACGACTCTTCAGATACTGAAGCAGTCCATGCAAAAAGATCTGGACAATATCCAGGTTTGGGCTGACAAGTGACAAGTAACACTTGCGCCACACAATTGCCAGGCAATGACCATCACGAATAAGACAACCTAACCACCACCCCTTGGCATTCAATGGTGTTACCATCACTTAAAACCCCCACTATCAACATCCTGGAGGATATCATTGATCAGAAACTCAACTGGACTCATCACATAAACACGGTGGCTACAAGAGCAGGTCAGAAACTAGGAATATTGCAGCAATCAACTCATCTCCTAACTCCTCAAAGCCTGTCCACCAACTACTAGGCATGAGTCAGGAGGGTGATGGAATGCTCCCCACTTGCCTGGATGAGTGCAGCCCCAACAACACTCAAGAAGCTTGACACCATCTAGGACAAAGCAGCCCACTTGATTGGTGCTACATCTACAAGCATCCCCTCCCTCCACCACCGACGCTCAGTAGAAGCAGCATGTACTGTCTACAAGGTGCACTGCAAGAAATTCACCAAAGATCCTCAGACAGCACCTTCCAAACCCATGACCACTTACATCTGGAAGCACATGGGTAGCAGATATATGGGAACACCACCATCTTCAAGTTCCCCTCCAAGTCACTCACCATCTTGACTTGGAAATATATCATCATTCCTTCACTGTCACTTGGTCAAAATCCTGGAATTCCCTCCCTAATGGCATTGTGGGACAGCCCACAGCAGGAGGACTGCAGTGATTCAAGAAGGCAGCTCACCACCCTCTCATGGGCAACTAGTCTCGGGCAATAAATGCTGGCCAGCCAGCAATGCCCAAGTCCCACAAATGAATAAAATAAAGTTATCTGCACAACATCTGGAGAAGAGTGGAACAGCAAGAAGAACACATCTATGCTTGTAACCATTGCCATATCAATATATGTTATACGTAGAAAATATATTTTGCTGAATTTCATACTGAAACATCTTCGTAACATTTCACAGTAAAGAGGTAAACATTAATATACGTTTATTTCAATATTTCTCTCAATAAGCACTTCAGCCTATATAACCAGACTTTTGGTGACTGTACCTGTAGTATTTATCATACTTTTTGGTGTGGCTGTTGCAGGAGAGATTACGTTGGTTGTATTGCCAGTGACGAGACTACTCGTAGTACCGATACCACCAACTGTATTAACGGCCAAACTGCCTGGAGGTGGTTTCTTCACAGGTACAACAACACTCCTAAGAATATAGAAAAATACAGTAAATGTAACATCCTCTCAAGGGTATACTAATGTATAGATTTATATTGTACATGAAAAGTACCTTTATTAAAATACTAAAATCTATCGACTGTCTGTGTGTGTTTCCTCCGGGTGTTCTGGTTTCCTCCCACAGTCCAAAGATGTGCAGGCTAGGTGGATTGGCTTTGCTAAATTGCCCATAGTGTTCAGGGATGTGTAGATTAGGTGGGTTATAGAGGGATGGGTTTGGGTGGGTGCTCTGAGGGTCGGTGTGGCCTTGTTGGGCCGAAGGACCTGTTTCCACACTGTAGGGATTCTATGATTCTATGATCTATTTGCTTTCAAGTATGTGTGACATATTCCTTTTACAGTGGCGAATAATTTAATGTCTTTAGTGGGAAGCTAGGTAAGCATAAAGGGAAAAGAACAGAAAGTTATGCTAAATGGTTAATGAAATATGATGGGAAGAATCAAATCTGGAGCATAAATGGTAGCAGAGATCAGTTGAACCAAATGTAATTCTTGTCACTCTTTCTTCCGCCTGACATCAATGAACAATGGAGAACATAGTGCAAATGAGGGCACATAAAAGGAGTGATGCTGGTCCAAATCAAAATGAAACAAAAGCATCTCCGAAAGTATATATATTTGGCTTGTTTTGCACAATTTGTGCTTTTGTTTGAATCACTAATTCTCACTGCATTTTCATTAAAAAAAAAGGAACTGTGGATGCTAGAAGTCAGAAACAAAATCAAAAATTGCCGGAAAAACTCAGCAGGTCTGGCAGAATCTGTGGAGAGAAAGCAGAGTTAACATTTTGGGTCCAGTCAGCATTGTCAATGGTACATTTTAGACCTCCCTAAATAAAAACAGATGATTTTCTGATCAGATCCTTTTAATCAGAATAAGTAGCTTCAGTGAGAGACTGACTTATTTATTTCTATGTGCAGAGGTCCGCATTTTCATAAAAACCAAAGAACTGGAGATGCTGGAAGTCAGAAACAAAGTCAGAAATTGCTGAAAAAAACTCAGCAAGTCGCAGCACCTGTGGAGACAGAGTTAATGTTTTGGGTCCAGTGACCCTTCTTCAGAATATGTTCAGCTCTGAAGAAGGGTTAATGGACCCAAAACATTGACTCTGCTTTCTCGCCATAGATGCTGCTGTGTTTTTCCAGCCATTACTGAGTTTGTGTCTGCATTTTCATATTCTGTATTAATGTGAGCTGAAAGGCTTTTAGAAATATACTCAAACTACAACATACTGTGATGGTATAATAATCAAAGATTGGATTGGAAAATTAATAGTGGGGCCAAGGGACCAAAATTGGGAAGATAATGGATAATCAAAGAATAGAGTCAAGATCAAATAGGACTGTATCAATATGAGAAATTATTAACAGAACATGACTGGAAGAGAGATTAGAATTTACATAAGACTAAAAAAAACTAAAGGTTCTGTATCTGAATGCATATATCATTTAAAAAAAAAACAAAACTGATGTTCTGAGAATGCAAATAGAAATAACTATGTACAATCTGGTTGTCATTAATTACATGATTTGGGACTGAATTTTGAAGAGTATAAGACATTAACGAAGGCTAGGAACATTACTGGGAGGTGATGGCATTGTGGTAAAGTCAGTTGACTAATAATTTAGAAGCCTAGGCTAATGTTCTGGGGACAGGGTCAATTCTCACCATGGCAGATGGTGCAGTATAAATTTAATTAATAAATCTGTAATTAAAAGCTAGTGTATGACAATTATCGATTGGTGTAAATGCCCAACTGGTTCACCAACATCCTTTAGGGAAGGAAATCTACCATCCTTATCTGCTCTCGGCTGCATGTGACTCAAGAACCACTGCAATGTGGTTGGCTCTTAACTGTCCTCTGCAATGGACCAGCAGGCAGCAAATACGGGCGTTGCCAGCAACATCCGCATACTAGAAAAGAATTCTTAAAAACTAGGAAAAGGTGGAGATGTGGCACTGTTAGTTAATGATGGTATTAGGACAATAAACAGGGATGACCCAAGTTCAGAAAATCAGGACAGAGAAGCATTGTGGGGAGAGATGAGATGAAGAAGGTAAGAAGTGAATTGTGGGAGTGGTGTACAGGCTCTTTCCAGCTGAACAGAGCATAAGGGAGTAATGGGAGATTTTGATCTACATATAGACTGGAAAAATCAGTTGGGTAAAGATAGCCTAAGGGAGGCGTTCATAAAATATTATTGGTATAGCTTCTAGAACAGCATTTTATAGAAATGACTACAGAGTGGAACATACTAAACTTGGTATTATGTAACAAAACCAGATTAATTAATGTTATAATGAAGGCACCCTTAGGCAGCAGTAGTCATGACATGATTGCCATTGTATTCAATTTGAGGGAGAGTGAATCCAAGACTCCTCTTTTTAAAATTTAAATATTCTTCCATGAAAAAATAGTTAGCTGAAGTATATAGGCAAATTAGGTTAAATGATAGTTCAAAAGAAGTACAGTGGCAGACAGTTAAGTGGATATTTCAGAATACATGGCATGGATACATTCCAAAGACTAAGAAATTTCCAAAAGACAAATTCCAGAAATTCGCACCCTCTGGGTGAATAGGTTTTACCTCATGTCCCCTTTAATCCTTCTTCCAAACACCTTAAATCTGTACCCTTCTGTAAGTGACTTCTCCAATAGAAGAAATAGATCTTCCCTGTCCACTCTATCCAAGTCTGTCATTATTTCCTACACTTCAATTAGGAACCCCTCAACCTCTCCTGTTCTAAGGAACATAATCCTATCCTATCCAATCTTTCCTCATGGTTGCAAATTTCAGGTCCTGGCAACATTCTTGTCAATCTCCTCTTTTCTCTCTCTAAAGCAATTAAGTAATTCCAGTAATAAGATTACCGGGACTGTATGCAAAACTCCAGCAGTGGCCTAACACACATCTTATATAGTTCCAGAATTACTTCCCTACTTTTTTTAAATTAAGTACCTCAGTGAATGAAGAAAAACATTCCATATGGCTTCTTCACTACTTTATCAACCTGTCCTGCCACTTTCAGGAATTTGAGAACATACACTAGTGGGTCATTTACTTCCTCTAGCCCTTGCAATGCTGCTTCATTTTATTGCATCTTCCCTTGCTTTCCTTGCATAAACTCTCACTTCTCCAGACTGAATTCCACTTGCACATTCTACTGCCTCAAATAAACCACTAATATCATCCCAGAATAAGCTATCCCTTTGACTATCAAATACACCACAAATTTGTGTTGCCAGTAAATTTCTCAATCACGCCTCCTACGTTTAAGTTTAAATTATGAACACACGCCACAAACAACAAAGGCTCCAATACTTGAGCCCTGTGGAACACCACTGGAAAGTGCTTTTGTGAAAAACATCCGTTGACTATTTCACTTTGTTTCCTGAGCCAATTTTGGATCCAACTTGCTACATTCCTCTGTTTCTTCTGGGCTTTAATTTTTCTGAACAGTCTACCATGTGGGAGCTTGTCAAATATTTCACTAATATTTCTGGACATAAAATCTACTGCAATACCCTCAATCCTTCTAGTTACTTCCTCAAAAATTCATATTAAGATCCAACATTCCCTGAATATACCATGCTGACTATCCCTGATTAATATCACTTTCATCATCTTTTAGTACTGGTACTGCCCACCATCGAGGTCAGACTGACTAGTCTGTGATTACTTGGCCCCATCTCTTGCAGCCTTTTTTGAAAGCAGTACAATGTTCACAAACATCTAATCCCCTCATACCTCACTTGTATCTAGGAGGATTAGTGTACAATCTTCAGATCATCTGTCATTTCCACCTTGGCTTCTTTTAACAGCTTAAGGTACAAATCATTTGGCCCTGGTAATATACCCCCTTCAAGGTGAGTCCTCCAGTACTCCCCTTCTTATTATAGTCATTTGATGTAGTGTTTGATATTCTTCTTTTAACGAGAATGTCTATTTCATCCTTCACCTTTTTGAAGACAGAGACATTTATTAGGATCTTTCACACATCTTCTGATCTGTGCACACTTTACCATGTGCATCCACCTATCTTTTTTCTTACTCATTCTGTTGCTCTTAACGTACTGAAAACATCTTTATCGGCTAATATTTTACATTGATAACGAATATACTTCTGATGCTAGAAATCTGAAATAAAAACCAAAGTTCTAGAGAAACTCAGCAAGTCTGGCAGCATTTGTGGGAAGAGAAATGGAGGAAATATTTTGAGTCCAGTATGACTCTTCAAAACTGAAAGCTGCTGAAAATTATTGTTTTTATGCTAGTGACAAAGGAGGAGGAATATGACCAAGAGGAACAGATGGTGAGAGTGCCTAGAGTGAAAGACAAAGCAAGTAATAAGGTGGCAAAGGAGCAATAGGAAATGTCACAGAGGTATAAATGTTAGGTATGAAAAGAGAAGGAGGGGCCTCTCTGCTGACAGCAAAGCCTTTCCTAATTTCCTTATCACTTCAGTCCTGTATTTTCAATACTCCTCCAAGCTTCCTAAAGTATTATATTTTTTAGACTGTCATAAGCTCCATTTTTCAGCTTTATCTCTTCCTGTAAACTTCTGAAAAACCTGGAGCTTCTGAATTTGGCAGTACCACTTGTTTCCTCCATGAGGACACAGGGCTTGTAGATTCTATAGAATCTCATATTTGAATGCCTCCTGTGGATTTTCTACATACTTTCCTGCAAGTGGCTATACCTAGTTCACTTATGCCAGATCTTTCTCAGCTTTGCAAAATTTGCCTTCCTCAATTTAGAACTTTTACTCTGTGTTCTTTGTCCCCCTCTATAATGATGCTAATCTAACCGCATTATGATTACTATGTCAAAAATAGTCTCCATCTGCTACTTCATGCACCTGCCCAGGTTCATTTCCTGAAACTAAATCTAGAACTGCGCTCTCTGTCATTGGGCTTGTCTTTTATTGGCTAAAATGTTTTCTTGAATGCAATTTGCATTCTGTGCC